GGTGGGATGCAGATTCGAACCCGCGACCCTCAGATTGTGAGTCGAGCGCCTTATCCACCTGGCCATGCCGGGCACCATTCAAAGGTAGCAGCAGTGTTGTTCAGAAGTCTTATTAAAATTGCATTTTCTGTAAAAGATCTGAATTAACTGATTATTATCGTATCACCGAATACTCAAAAAAATCCTACAATAAAATCACGACTTCTCATCAAATTAGCATAATTTAATTTTGCCCATAAATTTTCAAAGCTTTTAGTTAACATTAATTTATTTGCTGTCTAAACGGAATTCACTGACCTTTCATTATTCAGCACCCTTAACAGAAGACTACTCTCTGCAAGATTTATTGTTAATTTTATGTTACTAAAACACTTCCTCCCGGAACTAATTTTGTCTATTGATTGATTCAAAAAAGAAACGACCTTCACAACGACTTGACAAATTTCAGTGACTTGACTTTGAGTTGACAAATGTATTAATTTTTTTTTCTATCGCTGATATGGGGTTGTTGTTTTGTTTTTTTCTTCCGAAATTCGCGTTTCGCCAAATAATTTTAAGTTTATTCTCTAATGCTTTTTCTAGTAAAATCCCGATTCTTATTCATGCCACTTCTATAAATGAATAATCGAATTTTGTAAAATCGATTTGCACGTTCTAATGCTGCTGAATGTTTCCCTAGATGCGAAACGTAGTGCTATGCACAGGTGATAATTTTAGCACTAATATATTTGGTTAATGCCGAATTCCCGAATATCTGACGTGTAATACCATAATGGGTGTGACTTAAGGTTCACAGGATATTTTAAGGAAAGTGGTTCGTATAATGAAATTGTTAAACGATCTAGAGCCAAAAGACAAAACACTTCGAAGAAGTAGTCCTTCAATTTTTTTCCATGAAAGCGGGAAACCTCTCACAGCGGAGCATTTAAGGTATCAACGGGTGCAGAAATAGCATCTCCTAGACAATGCGAAGCTATGGTTATGAAAAAGTATCCACCGACTTAAATATATATTGCAATGAAACTGCGTGCATGTTCTGTTACTGTTAGTAAGGTAATAAACGAGGATTTTAACTTGATGAAGGCTTAGAAGTCTGAAGTTCACATGAATCCAGCAACAACTCGAAATCAACAGCTGCCTTCATGAGAAAGATGGCAGAATAAGAATAAACTGGTCTTGGAAACGGATATCCACGTGCAGTTGAGGGTCCATAGAAAACAAATGTGAAGATGTATGTGCTCTAAAATTGACTTCATTTTTTGTTGTTTTTTTTGCAGAACCTTCTTCCACTGGAAATTGCGATGTCGGGCAATAGTGCGTAATCATGGCCATCAGAATAAGCACGATCAATGATGGACGATGTCGTTTCAAGTACAGCACCTGACCACGAACATCATTCTTATAAAGTGTGCCTAATCTTCAGTATTGTCACGATCCAGTATTACCTTTAGGTTGTTTATACTCGCTCTATTTCTTCTCTAATCTGAACTTTCCAGTTTGGTTTCAGTCAGCAAGGAACTTGTTCTTTTCGGATAATCTAATAATCTAACTACTAAGATAAAAAAAATTGTTTGTGAGCTTTAAATGTTTATACACGTATATATATATTATAAAAACTGAATTTCTACCTCGAGGCACATTTATTTTCGACTTTATCAGGATACGAACCACTTATTAATCAGTGGCACATATAAGAGTTTTAGAACAGATCCTTGAAATCAACTTCGGTAATATCACAAAACGCTTAACTTTAAAATCAGTCCATACAAATTAGATCGAAACAGCTGTAATAAATATGACATTCATACGTATAAAACAAAACTTTTTTTTTCCTGTGTATTAAATGAACTTCATCCTACCACGGTTCATGTGAATTAAACAGCTGTTAATAAAGGTTATATATCCAACACATCATCAGTACACACTGCCAGCTAAGAACGTTAATATTTTCTTAGACTATCTAACACACGCTTACACGCAAAACGTGGGTGTTGTTGATAATTAGGGAAGCAACTATATGGTAATAACGAATAAACAAACCCACAATTTTGTTTCATCCAGTAAGTAACTTTGATTAACATTATGTAAACGCTTTTTCTCTCAAAGAAATGCTTATTTGACACTAGAAAAAGGTATTTTTAAATATTCTATCTTGTCGTCGAAAATATTTTGCTGACTATATCAAACAAAAGTCTATTGAAAGCTATGGGGAGTAGATTATTGATACCTAAATCTTCATTACACTATCTCGCTTCGGCAGAGCAACGCACACGAGCTGTGAACAAATTAGATATTTCCCTTGAAATTTGATTTATATCCCTCAGAAAAAAGTGCCATAATTTAGTACTGTTTAAGTAGATCTTTCGCAATGTATTTTCCTTACTTTCAGGAGTATGTATCATAATATATTTATATTACCTGATCAATATCGCCTGTTGCTTTGAAACTGCTAATTAGCTTGTTAAAACACATATAAAAAAAGAATAAACATTCTTTCAAACCAGATTTGAATAAGATGATGTATCTTTGAAATATTTTATTTTTTTTGGCAAATAAAGGCGAGCAAAATATTAGATTTGAACTATTTGTAGAGAGTCGGTTTCACGAATTATTATTGATTAACAGAAAATACACATGCTACACTGCGGGTTTCAAAGGCCTCTCATGATTCAATTAGTCCCAACGGTACCGATCAAGCTCCTCCGTTATTTGCAATTATTTCTACGAATCCGAAAATAAACTGGCGCTATGAACTCAGTTTCAAACATGGCGCACCCAGGATCCTGAGTGGGACTAGAACTCCCCCCCCCCCCGGGCCTACCCCGAGTCTGCTTGCCTATTTTGATTCTTCTATTTCACAAACTATTCGAGGAGTTCGAGAACAAATAAAAATAACACACACACAACGCGAAGTAATATACATTTTAAAATTCTACAGGTTGACATGAGAAGACGATAAAGAAGAACAAGTTTTATGTGATAGGAAGACAAATTTAGAATTATGGTTGGCTAAGTGGCTAAGAAGCGGGTTTTACATCCTCAGTTAATTATGAGCGTTTTGAGATTTGTCATTATATATATACTGTACTTTGCAAAACATTTCCTGCTATTATATTAGGTCGTCAAGAAATTAATGTCGCATTCTGGAACACTTTCATTAACCAACCACACAAAAAATGCACATCACGTATAATAGTTAAACAAACCGCCTAAACGTCGCGTTAGTGTAGCCTATATAATGTGTAAAGATTAGTATACTCTAATCCCTTATAGTGATGGAACACGATAAGACACACATTCGGCACACAGAACATCAAAGAAGTTTATGGAAATGTTATGAACGTTCGTAAGTGTCAACGATGGTTCAGCAAATTTCGTTCAGGTGGCTTTAGCCTTAAAAACTATGATGGTAGGGGCCGACATATTGGAATTGATGCTCTGAAGACACTTGTTGAATCTAACCCAAGGCAACATACTCGTGAAATGGCCTTGAAATTGCGTGTCTCTCGTGAAACAATACGTAAACATCTAAGGAATATGGGAAAGCTCCATAAAGAAGGTGTTTAGGTGCCTCACGAACTCACTGATGATCATCGTTTCCAACGTGTTTCGTCTCTTCTGGCGCGTAATGCGCGTGAACCATTTTT